TAATTTATGTAAATAATAAAATTTTACTGTGAATCAAAATAATTTTTACTGTTGATGTTAGTTTCAATAGGAAAAAAAATATAATTTTTTTTGAAAAAAATTTCATAGCCATCATGAATCTTATTTAATTGATCTTGAGGAGAGAATTTCAAAACTATTAATTTTATTAAAAACCAATATATAGACCCAAAGTTATATCATTTTAAAGTTTGAATACTAAGAGTAAGATTGTCTATAAAATAATATAAATAAATTTTTTTGTCCTTGATGAAAGAGGAACTTCTTTTGTAAGGGGCTTACAAATTAAAAAAGTTTGAACTATTATGTTCACTTTAAAAGAGATCAATGAGGGACTTTTGGCCAAATATCCCATTTCTTAATCACATAACAATTGGTCCCAACTACAGGGTGGTTGGCCTAGTGGGTGACGATTAGGGCCTAGAGGTTTGCTCCCTCATTAGGTTCGAATCTCTCAGCCAGCAAATGCATACCTTGGGGTCACAGACCGCAGGTCATAAGTCCTATTTTGAAAGGCTTATTCGAGCTGTAAGAACTTAGTCTGGTACGCGTAAACTGACCCAGGATACCCTATATAACCAAAAAAGAAGAAAGAAAAAAAAATGATCCCCTCCATTAATCAATTGTTGAGTTAAAATAAGAACTTATGATGTAAGCAACATTTTTTTTTTTTCAGAAATACCTAATTAACCTTTTTGAATTTAGCACACTTTAGGTTTTTTTTTAACTTTCTTTCTACCTCACATTCCTTATTCCTAATTTTCTTTCAACTAATACAACCACTTTTTCCCAATTATCACACCACTCTCTCTCATTCTCAGGGATGGTTTGAAATAATCTAAATAAGTATACTTTTTGATTTTTTACGAAAAGATGTGCAGAAAAGTAGAGAGGTGATGTGATGAAAAAAAAATAAAAAGATGGATTATTTAGGGGATGCTAAACCACCCCTCACTCAACACCACCATCATTGTTATCTATAAGCATTTGGTGTGTCGTCAAGAAGCACTACAAGAATAAACACATTTGCCGACTAAAGATTTGGTCGGCAAAAGTCCAATTTTTGGTCGGCAAAACATATTCCCGACCAAATTTTTTGGTCGGCAATTTGGTCGGCAATTGAGGGTCGCGGAAAATAATTAGCGACTAAAACGATTTTTAGTCGGCAAAACATTCTATTTGGCGACTAAATTTTTGGTCGCTAAACATATAATTATTGCGACTAACCTATTTAGTCGCGAAAAGACTTTGGTCGACAAAAATTACATTCAACGACCATACATGTTAGTCGCTAATTTGGTCGGCAAAAATTACTTACAACGACCAACAAAATTGGTCGGCAAAAATTACATTCCACGACCAAAACTGCTTCATCGCTAAATAATAGTTTCTACGACCAAAAAATTTGGTCGCCATTTGTTACTTTTCGCAACCAAAACTTTTGGTCGGTAAAAGTGAGATTCCACGACCAAGAGCTGTTTTGGTCGGCAATAGATGTATTTTTTGTGACCAAAACTCTTGGTCGGCATTTGTCATTTTTTGAGAAAAAAAATTATTTATTTGTCGCGACTAATAAATTGGTCGGCAAAAGCAGGAAAACAATACACCTGTAATTCCTAATAATTCATTCAATCCATAATAAACCTATAATTTTAAAGCATCATTCAAATCAACTGAATCATTAATGTAACAACCCACATTTTTGTCCTAGTCATGTTTGCATACATTTATATGTTTTGCCATGTTAAGATTGTTGTAGCGACCCCTATTCATGTTGTGGGCATGTTCATGTTCATTTATATAGCATTGTCTTGATAAGTTTACATTCATGAATCTTGTCTCGTTTTGTATTGATGTGATTTGTCTAAGTGTTGTGTGCTTGCTTTGTTCCTTCCTTGGTACCCCGAGCCTAAGTTATGTTGATCCGAAGTTATGCCAAGCCTAGGTTATGTTAAGCCTAGATCATTCTAAGCTGAGGTCATCTTCAGTCTAGAAGTATCTTGGAACCCCTTTGTTTGACCTCCACCTTCGCCCTGACATATTGGCCGAGATGTCATTATCTAGGCCGAGGTGTTCATCACCAAGGCCGAGATGTGTATTATCTAGGCCGAGATGTTACCTTTGCACCTGAGCCATCTTGTCCTGGAGTGGTATGACCTAGACCGAGGTGTAGCACATCTAGGCCAAGGTGTGGCACAGCTTAGTCAAGTGTCGTCCTTCCTAGCCGAGGTCATTGTCACCTTAGTTGCCGAAGTCTTGTTGTTAGCTGATGTCACCACTTGCCGGAGTGCCATTCCGTGTAGCTTGTTATATACGCTTTGCCATTGTCTTGTCTTGTCAACCTATCACCTTTTTGAAGAGAACCAACCAGTCATTGCCACGTGTCCGAGCTGAGGGTTAAGTCAGCCGATAGAGAGAGAGAACCCATCATTTTGTTGTATACTTGTTTTGAAGAGGAGAGAGAAGCTAGCAGAGGAAGAAGAGTTCTTGAGAGAGAGTGGATTTCTAAGCTTGATTCCTAGAGATCGAACCGTTAGATCCGTGTTCTAAGGTTAGATTCTTGATTCGCTCTTGTTGTTCTTTATGTTCATGATATTGCATTGCATGATTGAGTATGATTTGTAAGCCATGCATTGCTTTGAAGTTCGATTTTAGAAAGAGAAAACGGCATTCATGTGTTCTTCAAGAAAAGTCATGTTTTGATCTGAAGGCTCATGCCTAGATCCATGTTTTTGTGTTTGTTTTCGTATGATCTTCAAGTATGGGTACCCAAGTCCATGTTTTCGAACTCATAGCATGAAATCCTAGATTTTGTAAATAAAGAAGTTATGATTTTGGCATTCATGTTCCTCATGTTCTTCATATTCATGTTCTTCCTGTCCTTCACGGGTGGAAGCCCAGATCTCCAGACCTCACTTCTGGAAGTGTAGTCGCCGAGATCACTCTCACCTAGACCTTACACTTAGGACAAGCATCGTATCTCACATTGGCCTACCTTTGCATGATCACTTACACTTTCAGTTGTCTTGTGCGTACCTCGGCGTGCAGCCGCATGCCGAAGCCTAGGTAGCCACATCTCGGCCGGGAGGTGTGGGACCTCGGCAAAGATCTGGTTGGTACCCAGCATGTCTTTCTGACATGTAAAACAGTGTTTTGACTTCCAGCATGTTTTCCCGAGGTTAATTGCATGCATGTAATACTCGTTTTGAGAAGTGCATTCAGCATGCTTTGCCATGTGTTTGTAGGACTTGGACCTTTGCCTTGACCCCGACGTCCCAAGAACTATGTGAGTGGTATTTCTAATAAAGTTATGTTATAACGTTTTGATAAAGCTTTGATTTGTTTTGATAAAAGTATTTGTTAAGCATGAATGATATCCCTATTTTATGTATCAAGTGCAAGCTTTGTTTGGATGACAATCTTTGGAAGTCCGTACGTGCTAGGGGACTTTAAGCATTAGTAGCACATATGTGAAGTCCGTACGTGCTAGGGGACTTTAAGCATTAGTAGCACATATGTGAAGTCCGTACGTGCTAGGGGACTTTACGCATTAGTAGCACATATGTGAAGTCCGTACGTGCAAGGGGACTTTAAGCAATTGTGGCACAAGTCCGTACGTGCTAGGGGACTTTAAGCATTAGTAGCACATATGTGAAGTCCGTACGTGCCAGGGGACTTTTAGCAATTGTGGCACAAGTCCGTACGTGCTAGGGGACTATAAGCATTAGTAGCACACATGTTAAGTATGTAAGTTTTGCAAGATCAAGTTTGATGAACAAGATTCATCTCATGTTTTGTACAAGCTATGATAAGTATGGTTTTGACGAAGATATATTATGTATTGTTTTGAAAGACCTCGGGAATCATTCATTTAACCCCTTTATTACTTATACCATTCACTGAGTATCCAAGCTCACCCTCCCTATGTATATATGTAGGTAACAAGCAAGAAGTCGGCTTCGCCGAGATGTGTGTTTTGTATGCATGTTATGTCGGCTTTGAGGATGTCGGCAATCCCAAAGATTATGTTCCATGTTTTGTAGCTCAAGTGCTTTTGTTTATGTCGGCAATTTTTGAAGCTTTTGTATTTTGAACATGTCGGCTCGAGAAGCCTTTTTCCAAGATGTAATATGTATTTTGTACTTTATTTTATTTGTATTCAAGTTGTAAAGCTATGTAAAGATGTATGCCATTCCATTTGACTTATGCACTGCTCTTAAGGACCACTTGTATTTTAGATTATTGCTTCCACGCTTGTGAGCCCCCTATATCTATACTCTGATTGTGTGTGAATTTTGGAAGTTGGCCTTCAGTAATTACGGATTACTGGCCATCACGGCACCAAACTACTAGGGGCGGTTTGGGGTCGTGACAATTAACATTCGACACAATACATAATTCATTAACATTCGACACAATACAACTATTCTAAGTTTTCATTCACAAGTCACATTCATCTAGCATAACAATTTGAAACATAACTATTTGTTATCCATGCACAGCTATCAATAAATAAAACTACTAATATTTGTTATCTATACACATCCATCCAAAAATATTTAATCCTCCCAAAAATGCTTATACTGCCAAGTAGTCTTGTACAATTTAGCTTCGTGCATGAGATCATCCATCATCCATCTATACCAAAGAAAATGAGAAATAATGTTAGGTTTGTTTTTAATGAAAATATTTGAAGAATAAAGCTTCGGACCCCTAGTGGGGGTGTTGGGGGTCCCTTCTCATTGGTAAAAAAAAAACAGTTTTTTTTTTTTTTTAGTTTTCAGCCAACCCCAGGCCGACACGTGGCACTGGAGGTCACTGGGGGTCACCCCCACTGGGGGTTTGTAGCATTGCTGATATTTGAAATGGGTAATTAAATTATCAATTTCAGAGAATCGTAAGTTCAAATCAAAATTTCTAACTCATTTGCAGGTAATTAAATTATCAATTTCAGAGTATAAGCTGCTAATTACAAATTTGAAATGGGTATTAACAGATTGGACAATGAGACTCATGTTTACATAGAGAAAAGTGCAAGGTTCATATATGGTCATGGCAGACACAATCAAGCTTGACAAGCACAGATAGACATAGAAGACTACTACAATGTTGAAAACAATCTTCCTCTTATTTATGGTTTTCTCTATTTTTTCGTTTCTTTTCTTTTCTTTTTCTTTGTTTATGGTTTATTTGTTTCTCCTTATGTAGTTGCTTCAAATGAATGATCCTGAAAAGTTTGTGAACCTCGAAATCGACCCTCCTAAGGGTGTTCTATGCTATGGTTCACCTGGTACCGGTAAGACACTTTTAGCTAGAGCTATGGCTAATAGAACTGATGCGTGTTTCATCCGTGTTATTGGAAGTGAACTTGTTAAGAAATATGTTGGGGAGGGTGCCCGTCAGGTTCGTGAACTATTTCAGATGGCACGTTCCAAAAAAGCTTGTATCGTGTTTTTTGATGAACTAGATGCCATAGGAGGTGCATGTTTTGATGATGGTGTGGGTGGAGACAATGAGGTTCAGCGCACTATGCTTGAAATTGTGAATCAACTTGATGGATTTGATGCTCGAGGGAACATCAAAGTTCTTATGGCAACAAATCGACCAGACACTCTAAACCCTTCTGTTACTAGTGGATCCGTGGTTGGTGCTATTTGATTATATAGTCCATCAAATGTATCATCATGACAGTTTGAGTTTTGCAATAGCTTTGTTGTGCTAAAAAAAAAAAAAAAATTTTCTAACTTTTTATGTGCCACCACCAAGGTCGAACACAAGGATGTTCTTCTCACCACCTTTATTGTCGAATCCATAGGCAATAGCTGCAGCAGATGGTTCATTTAAAATTCTAGCAACATTCAGCCCAGCAATAATACCAGCATCCTTGGTAGCTTGCCTTTGGGCATCATTAAAGTAGGCTGCAGGTTGCAAAAAAAAGTAAAAGGGAGTACCACAGCATCCTTGGAAGAGTGGAGAATAATAGTAGTAATTTAGAAGAGTTCTATTCACCAACAACTGTGACAACAACATCCTTAATTGATTTTCTTCCCAAGGAATGCCTCACAGTCTCCTTTATCTTAATTAGAATCATAGCACTGACCTTCTTAGGGCTAAATACCTTGGGCTTTGCATCCTTAATCTTAACTTCGATACAAGGCTTTCCATCTTTATTCACAATTTTGTGAGGAACAAGCTTCATATCCCTTTGGACTGTTATTTTGTAATTTTAAAATTGTATTTGATTTATTTAATTTATTTTATTTGATATTCGCATTTTTTTAGGAATAAGTTTATAACGTTATATTAGTTTCCTAGTTTTTTGGATTATCCTACAATATCTCCTAAATATCTAAATTATGGTTATTTAAAGACACATTAATGTGTACTAATTTGGCCTTTTTTTTTTTTAAATTGTGTATGTAATAAGACTTCAAGTAATCATCTAAAGAAGTCAAAAATCCAGCAGCATTCAAATGGTATAGAGAGTCCATCTAGCAAAACATTATATCATTAAATCGAGCTTCTAGCACATAAAATTTATTTTTTTTGGGGGGGGGGGAATTCGAAAGGGGCATCTAGACAGATAGGTTGATCAAATAGAGCAATAGTTATCAGCTTCAAACTAACGACTAAAAATGACCATTTTCAAATGTAATTACTAATACTAATAATGCCATTGCCAATTCACTGCCCATTACACTAAAGACAATAGGGTATTTATAATTAGTATGATAACAAGCAACCTGTATGTCATAATATTAAAGGAAAATGTATGACAAGATAATTTACTGTTATTGAACAGACACAGAATCATCATGTATTTTTGCTAACGAGGCTAGTATACATATTCTCAACTTAAAAGAGCTTCCAATTGATGGTGCACTTGAAGATGGATCCTATGTGATTAACAAGACAGGAAGAAGAGAGTACTTTCTACATCAATATTGTTCACCAATGTTGTCCTACCACCGTGGTACAACGTTTTAGGACATTAATATTCCATTTCATTCCAAGGCCAAGGGAAATTAAAAATAAAAAAATAATTTAACATGCAATAGTACCTAAAGTGGCAACAATTTTAATGCTACATCTGTTTGATGATTACCTAGTCGAAACCCATTTATTGACTAATCAGAAAACATTCAAAGGTTGGAGTTGGTAGGCTGTTATTAACTGGATTTCCATGTGAGGTTGGTGAAAGGAATCATCAACCTATTATTGGGTCTTGGCATCAACAATATTTGCTCTACCATCCTTTGTAAATAATTTAGTATTATAATGCTATGTTTATATATATATATATATATATGACAAGAGGTGTCACAGAGAGAGAGAGAGAGAGAGAGAGAGAGAGTGTGTTGATAGTTTGGAATTTGGAGTGTTGATAGTTTCGAAAAGAAAAGTAGAGCCCTGTCCTTAATATATTCCTCTGCTTATGTCCTATTGAGAAAATAATAGAAAAGAAAAGAAGATAAGTTAAAAAACTAACAAGTTATAGAAACAATGGTCGCCAAGAAGCCAAGAATTGTGATTATTGGGGCTGGAATGGCTGATCTCACAGCTGCCAACAAGCTCTCCACATTACAGGGCTCGAACGAATCATTTCAGCTCTGCGTAGTAGAAGGTAGGACTAGAATTGGTGGAAGAATCAACACTTCTGAGTTTAGTGGTGATAGGATTGAGATGGGTGCTACTTGGATTCACGGCATTAAAGGTAGCCCAATTCAGAAAATTGCTCAAGAAATCCATTCACTTGACTCTAATCAGCATTGGGAGTGTATGAATGGGTTTTTACATGATCCACTCACTATTGTTGAAGGTGGGCATGAGCTCAATCCATCACTTGTCGATTCAATAACTAGTTTTTTCAACAAACTATTGGATTTTGCTCAAGGAAAGGTGAGTGAAGAAGGATTAAGCAATGAAGAGATTGAGTATTGTAAGTTTGTAGCAGCAAAAGGCTTTAATGGAAAGCTCGGTGTTGGTTCTTTTCTATGCCATTGCCCAAAAATGGAAATTATGAGGCTGTTGCCTCTCTTCCACTCCAAATTCTTTTGCAGGTGAAGCAAATGGAATAGAACCCATTATTCAACTACTCATGGAGCCTATTTCAGTGGCCTTAGAGAAGCCAATAGGCTTCTTCAACATTATCATTGCAACAGGGTATGAGAGTTCTTGATACACTACTAAGCTAGAACAGTAAGCACTTTTTCTTGTTTTTTTTTTTGTTTTTTTTTGTTTTTTTTGTTTTTTTTTTTTGGGAAACACTTATCTCCCTCTTAATCACTTTCTGATTGATATTCATCTGGAAAATCTTTTATTTCTCTCTCTGTAATATGGTTGGAATGAGATGAGATAGTGGAAATTAAAGAGAGGGAATGAAAGGGAGATGGGTACAATTTTTAGATGTACAGATGAATGAGTTAAAGAAGCTTCTTTTCAAATGTTCTATATATATGAGTTTTGGGGCTACTTTACTATTTGATGATGTTCTTAATCTTCAAAGCAAACTAGTTAAAGATTATGTTTGGCATTGAATATAGTTGTTGTATATTTTTAACAAACATGGATCTGGCATTATTGAAGTCTAAACTGAATATCTTCCCTGGTTTGTCATCTTCCTTCACCAGATTTAATTTATGTTCACATATTAATGTAGCGTCTTACATATGTGGTCTATTATGATGTTCGGACATAATGAGCAGGTTCACACATTCAAGAAAGCATGTGTAGTTGCTTATCCAAGAACAGAGACTCAAAATGACATCACCCTCATTTGGCGTAACTCTAATCCTCAATACAAAGATATCCTTTGATCAACAAACCCCCATATATCCCAGAACTGGATGACCTGATGTTATACTAAGTTGATGGGAAATAGAGAGATACCATATGTGTATGCAGAGATAAAGTCGTCCTAATATATATTTTTCATTTCAAAACAGAAGGTATGTACTGCTACTGATTCCAGTCTCAAAACAGAAGGTATGTACCCCAAAAAGAAAGAGGAAAGGAAAATAAGAACTTAGCACTAATCATAGACCTATTTTGCATGTGGTTTTGCATCATCCGCTTCAATCTCTGTGGAACTTTTGAAACATAAGACAAGTAGTATAGCTTGTTTTAACTATAATATTAAAAATGTTCCCCAATGATGCTTCGATTTTACAAATAACTTATAAAAGCAAAAAAATATATATATATTTGATTCTCATTACGTATATTTGCCAATATAGCAAGGGATACTTAAAAGAAAGAAGAGAAATAACACACTCCAAGGCAAATAATAGATTGGGGGACTTCACAAACAACAGAGTGAAATGGTATTCTCCACATATCCCAGCAGCAAACATCAACACAAACATTGACAGTGAGAGGGAGACACAGGTAGAGACTGAGTGAGTGAGAGTGATACAGCAGATTTTTACCTGCAATTGTTGCTAGGGAGAGTTGAAGATACTCTGAAAAATCACAATGGTGAGGGCCCTGGTGGCTGACACAATGTAGAAGAAGATAAAAAGTTAACCCAAACATTCATATTTTCAACCTCAACTTTTTAGTCTAAAAAGATAAAAAGTGCACTTATTTAGGAAACCCCAAACAAAACCCTAATCAGCGGTAGCTTATATTTCGAGTGTGGTTATTAGTACTCCACTAATTATTTTAGATCTTTTATTTATTTGTATCTCTACTTATAAATTATAAAATTCCTTAAAATCTCTTTTTTCCTCCAAATAATATCAAAATTATCCTTACAAAAATATTCAATCCATTCAAATGCATACCACCACACTTCCATACCACAAAAAGTCTTTCTCCCAAAACCCTAACAAAACTCACGACGGTGGAACCTTCCAAAACCAGTGAAATTTTTTTTTGTGGTGATTAAAAAGTTTTTTCTCTACTTTATTACAAGATTTGCCAATCCGTTTGATTTTTTTTTTTATTATTTTTTTTCATACACACAACACAATCCACTTTCATACTTTTTTGATTTGTTTTTTATCATTTATCCATGGCCTCACTGTATTTTATATGCTCTCTATGTGAATAAAATTAGGCAGGATTTCACCCACCAGTCGACTCCTTAGTCAATCGACCGGTCGACCACCCAAGGGTGGTCCGACCTCATTTGTTTGCCTGCTTCTGTTGCTGCTTAGGTTATTTGTTTCCGAACAAATAAGAAGTGTTCAATTACCTGTTCCTGAACAAATAAACAACGTTCGGCCCTATGTTCTTGAATTTTGATCATATGTTCGGGAGTTTTGTCTTGAAAGAATGATGAACCATTTTTATTATTTTTGCCATTTTTTTTCAAAGAACTTACCCTTACAAAGCCAATCTCATTTGAGCTAAGAATGCCATCAAAGCTATAAACCTCTTCTGAGCTTTTATTGTTGTACTCCTCTCGTCTCATGGAGAGTTGTGGTTGGCAAAAAAACTTCCACTCATTGTCATTGCTGGAGAAGTGTATGTAATCAAATGGTTGCCTCCGTTGTCACCGGAATATTGTTGCGAAAGGGTTTTCAAGGTTCTGAAGGTAGGATTTGGGAAAGATAGATTGGTGGTGATGGAGGCGGATGCTTTCATAAACCTTAACTCATGATGTAGTGAGTGTGTGGCTTAATTGTAAGATGAGGTGTCCCAAAATTATTGATGTCTTTTGCAGTAATTTCATTTGAGGTTATTATTGTAATAAATAAATAATAATAAAAAGCTAAAAACTAGGTGGTCCA